GTTCTGTCTGCTTGGATTTAAACTGATCGAATCTGTGTTCGGTGCGGCCGCTTGCCCGGAGTTTGTGCGCGCTGCCGGGCTTTGTGTTGACCGCCCCCGCTCCCCGCCCCCCATAGCCTTACTCCTTTTTTCCAGTTTTTAATGAAACCTGGCAAGTTCTACAAGGGGAAATAGCTTACATCCACATTAATTTAAATTGTTAAAATATGCCCTTTAAAAGGGCGTTTTATAAATCTTGCCTTTTCTCCCTAAAGAGTCCTCTTCCAGTCCCCAGAACTCAACATTGTAAAACTGAAAAAGAAAAGAAAGGCTCTAAGCAAGTAATCTGTTCCAGGTTTTAGTAGACAAAGTATGATTCAATGATTCATTCTGATCTCGATACGAGGGGAGGGAGGGGGAAGATGGTGGCAGTTTGTGTAAAAATAAAAATGAGCTGAGCTGCTCAAGGCTTATCAGTACCAGAGTGCCTCAGCTCCCAGTCTCTGCCCGTTTATCCCCTTTAGTCCCTACTGAGGCAACTGCTCTTCCCAACTATAACTTCAGTGGGTGTTTCCCCTAAGGCCGAGCAATGGCATCTGGGCACTCTGCCCCGCGCAGGCGGGAGAGGGGGGCCCAGACTGGCGCTGCAGGCTCTTCCTCCAGCCCTGCGATTCTGCTTGGCTGGGAGAACAGAAACCCCTGAGTTCGGCTGCAGAGCGCTGACCCGAGCAGCCATTGCACTGAAAACTTCAAACGAATGATCCACTTCCTCCTCTGTTTGCTTTGGAGTCGCGGGATCTGGACTTTGCACTGGCAGCTGATCTTTTTCCCCTCCTTTGGTCTTCAAGAACAGCCAAAATAACCAACTGAAACCCCCACAGGCTCAGGCTATTCCAGATTTCTATTATTATTATTATTTACTTAGGGAGAGCAATCGGGTTCCTCGAATTTCCTTCTCTTTATAGTTTCTTTTTTTCCCCTCGCCTTGGCCAGAAGTGAGGAGTAGGGGAGTGAACAGCCTATTATTTTCTGCAGTTGTTTACTCGTTCTGTAGATGGTGCTTGTTCCCAGGGCTCTGAGCTTCTCTATAATTAAACCCATTTTAATTGTTAGGTTAGAAACGTCATTTCGGGGACTTTCCAAGAGTTACCGAGAAGGCCAGCCGAGATAACTATTTCACTACCGAGTCGCTCGCAGCCTGTTTTTTGCGTGGTTCCTCCCTGTCGGCCCACCAGGGTGCAAGGCTGAACTCAGTGCAAGAGAGACGAGAGCCCAGGGCTGGCAGCTCCTCTACCAGCACAGCCGTCCACCCCTGCTGCTTTTGTGTTATTCGCTTGCACCGTATGCATTTGTTTTGGAAACTTGGGGTTTAAGGTTGCACATTTCCATGGATCAAGCAGCAAAAGCTGAAGCTGAGAAGGAATTTTTTTCCAGTGATTTAGCTTGGCAAACCCCGACTCCACGGTGGTCTGCCTTGCATTGCCTGCGCACATGCTCGTTGAGAAATTTAGCTGCTCGCCCCACCTCGTGGCTAAAAGTCAGAGCCCTCCGGGCCAGAGTGGGAATTTGTGTGGGCATGAATTCACACCAAGCAGAGGAATGAAAAAATCAGAGCCTTGCACCACCCGCCAGAGCCGTGCCAGAACTTTTGATAAATGCAAATGAATTAAGATAGGTAAATGAATAAATGAAAGTCGATTATTAAAGAAGATTACTGAAAAAGTGAATGAATGCAATGCCATGCTCACTAGCCTTCTCATGTGGGTCAATCTGTCCAGGCCCAGCACATTCCAGTTGGGATACTATAGCTGGGCATTGGAAGTGGGAATAAATGTCCAGGACCTCCCAAACCATTCCCAAACTTGTCCTCAGCACCGGAGCAGCTTCTCGAGCATTCACCTTCCCTGGTTCCAATGCAAGCAGATGCTAAACTTGTCTCAAAATACAGAGGGATAAGATTCTGCATCAGACCTGTATACACATTTAACAGTGGAATTAAGAAACACTTTCCTGAATGAGAGCTGAAATAGGCCAGAGTAGCTAGAAAATGGGGAAGAAACAGGGGGCAGTGAATGAGATGATAAAGGCAGGAGTTTTAAAGGATTAGTTTTTCCAGTCGTGTGTGTGTATAAAACTTTGGGCTCGTTGGCACATGATGCTGTGGAGGTCAAAAGTATAAACTGGGTCAAAAAAGCAATTTGACAAATTTATGGAGGAAAAGTCCCCGAAGCTTTACTAAAGGCAAAGGGAAACCTCTGCAACATGTTGCTGGACAATGCACAGCAGAAGTATCACTCTCTCATTCCCCTGTTTTCCCCCGTTAGCATTGGCTGCTCTTGGAGGAAAACCACAACAGACCTTTGACCTGATCCAGTTTGATTATTTTTACATAGTTAGGGTCTACTTTTCAGCTTTATACTCTGTCTAACCCTAATGGGCTTGGACGTGCGTGTGCCTCACAAATTTGGGATTAGCTGTGCAAAGTCAGATTTTTTGGGACAACCAGGAGAAAAGCATTAGGAAGTACAAATCAGCACTGTCTCGTCCTTGAGCCGCTGGGCACTGTTTCACATGCTGGCTTCTGCTAAAGGCTGGAGAACAGTCTCGTGGGTTGGCTGCACTGTTTGCCCAGTTTCACTCCCCATCAGGGTACTAAGAGGTTACTTTGAGCATCAAGTATAATCTGAATCCAAGTGCCAGCTTTGTCACAAATATATTTGATGATGGTACAGCTCCCCTAGCAACAGAAGAAGGTTGCTATCTTAAGGCACCTGCACTTCATCTGGAGCTGTTTGGCAGTAGAAAGTCTGCAGGTTTGCTTGCGTCAGAGTTACTGAGCAAGAACATGAGTACAAAAAGTCTGAATTGTTGAAAACAAGGTGGGGGTGGGGTGGTTTGGTTTGTTCCCCCTCCTACCGCTTAGTTCCCAAAGTTTCAAGGTAGGAAAGGAAGTGCTTTCGTCATGAGCAAGGTTTTCCCCTGTGAGTTTCACATGATATGGGCATTTCACTCCCTTGCTCATATGGGAATCTTCAGGTAAATAGACATGTCCTTTTTGTTTTGGTGCTCTGGTGTACAGAGGCTGAGGACAGAGCAAGGACAAATGTCCTGCTTTTAATTTTGCTGAGGGTGTAAAATGAGTCGAGGCTTTCTGCAGTCACTATTCTATTCATATCTTTTGTGTCCGATGCTATTTTTGTTGGCTGTGCCCCTGGAGGTGGAGGTGTGGAAGTGCGTTTCTGCTGGTCTTTGCAAGCGGTGTAGATGTTTCCTCTGTTCCAGGCACCACCTCACACGCTGCGGCCTTACAGGAGGAGTAGGCGGATGTCAGCGTAGCCATTTCTCACCTGTCTGTAACTTTTTAATACTTCCTTTTACTTGGCTTTGCATTTCTTCCATGGAACGAACATCTCTGGGTAGCCACTGGGAGGTGTAAACGGCTTGGGATGGAAACCACAGCTTGTAGGTGCGCCCTCTGCCAGGCTTTTCTGGCACCCGAGGAAGCCCAGTCTCTGCCTGCTCCCAAGCGAAAGGGATATTACCAGCTGCTCGGTGAGAAAACAAATTCACAGAGATACAGGAAAGTGTGTTAAGTTGGTGGGAAGCAACGGGCATGAGATTCCTGGCAGCTCGGGTATGTAAACATTCGTAAAATAGAGAGTGTGTGCATGTGTGTACTTTGTGGTAGCAGGAAACCCAAGAATTCAGCTCCATTATTTTTGCTGGAATTGGTAGCAATGGTGCCAGACAAATATTATATGCCCTTAATCCTCCTGACTTTACACCTGTGAATGACCTAAAGACCATCCAAGGTGATCTAAATTACAAGACATCTCTACTAATTAATAATGGGGTTTGGGATCTGATTTGCTTTTTCATAAAGATGGTTTCTGTTTCTCAGTAGCTCAGATGCTGGGCTACCTCTGGGGGAAGTGAGGGGAAGTGGAGACAGGAGGTGGAGGTAATCTGTGACCTCTTCTGAAAATGTCACATGGATGTGACTAGCCTGCCACAAATTTAGCACTGGTGGCACTGACAAGACGCTGCAGTGGAAAAAGCAGAGGTGTCCTTTTAGCAGACGCAGGGCAAGGAAATTGGCTGAAGTTAATGGATCTAAGTTATAATTTCCAGTGGAAATACTAATGCAATTAATATATTTCCACATAGCAGGACAGCAAGTCCATGCTAGTGTTTAGCTGTTTGTCATGATTGCTCAGGAGACTGGCCCAGCCACATCCTGGAATCAGTCCAGCTGCACCCAAACACATGCAGCCTGTGTGAGGGGTGGGAGCAGGGCTGAGACACAAACCACTGTGCCAGTAGATTTGAGGGGCTGGAGGAAAAGAGCATCACCAGGACCGGCTGCTGCATGGTAGTGGAAAGCAAAGGTGGCTGAAGAGAAACATCTGCCCCTCTGACCCTGGCCTGGGTATGGGGCTGTCACTGTACCCCAGCTCTCCGGCAGGGCACCCACCATCCTACCTGGGGTCTGCACACCCTGTCTAGACACAGGGCACAGGGCTGCAAAGCCTAGCACACCCCTCACGCAGTGCTGCAGATCTCCCTGCTGCCCATTTGCTGCTGGCACCTACCTACCACCTCCTGTAGAGAAACCTCCCTCTTCTCAGTGTTCTCAGTGAAGTTACAAACCCTTTAGGGCAAGAAGCAAGCCTCTTCTGATCTCCTCCCTGAACATGCCGCAACTGCATGAAGCTAGAGAAGGGATTTTCAATCCTGCCAGTGTGGTAATGGGAGCTGAGAAAGTGCCCAGCCAGCTACAGCAAGATGAGGTATGGAGCAAGATGTGTTTCTCATCACTGGTGGAGCAGATCCACGAAGCAGCTGTTGTGGAGAGTGGTGTGCTATCCCACTGCAGGTCCCCAAAGCAGCACCCCATCCCCCTCCCTGCAGAGTCCACACACATGGGACAACCTGCACAGCCTGGTGCCAGCACCCCCTTTTTCTCCGAGTCTCAGCTGAGCACGTAGGGGTCCTGGGGTGCCCAGCATCACTGGTGGGCCCAACCTCAGGAGCTGATTATGGTGTACAGCAAGGGCATATCTTCAAATAGGTGCCCTTAACCTGGCCTAATCTGTACATCTGCCGCGGCAGAGGAAAATCAAATATCTCTCACCTAAATAAATTGTTGTTCAGGTTAAGGGAAGTGCCAGAAGCTTTAAAGAAGCTGTTAGCTGTTTCCAGAAAAAAAGGAGCAAGTGACACCTGCTGCACATCAAAACAGCTATTGCCCATGTATCAAAAGAGTAGTTATGCATGTAACAAATGATCAGGGATATGGAAAGCACAGGTCTCAGAAACCAGGACAAATTCCACATTTTTTTCAAATCCTGCTTCCACAGTCCCAAGCCCATACACAGCAGGGCAATAATGCAGCACAGTGATTTCTGTTGGCCTCTGCCTATTTCCAGCCAGAGCATCCCTGGCTGCTGATTTATTCAGCAGACATCAACCAGTGGAATGTTTCCATGATATTTTCATCAAAAAAATGTGCTAGGACTAAGTGCTTTCACCAGTTTGTTTGTTTGTTTGTTTGTTTTTTAAATGAGGAAGTCTTAAACTATTCAGGATCCTCTCGGGTCATGACATTTATCTGACATGAAGTGCTGGTGTCAGAAGGTGCTGCTTGCAGTGCTGGTGGCTGCTTAACCTCCAACAGGCTTAGTTGTAACTCTGAAAAATACCATTTTGGTTCTTCGTGGTGGAACTCATCATAACCTTGTTTCCAAACACATGGGTTGCACTCCACACATCTTACAACTCCATGAGATATTTGCATTAGGGAGGCAGCTTGCTTTCCCACCTATCCTGTTCTATCAAAACACATCTTTAGCACCACGCAGCCAAGGTCATCTCCTTTTCTTTTTTTGTGTTCCTTCTGCCTGCTCTGAATACATTATAATACAGTCTTCAGCTCCACTATTATATCTTTTCCCACAAGACCATTGCCTCATTCAGTCCTCAGCAGGGAACATGCTTTCATCTCTGCCAGCTGGGCATGGTTGGAGCACCCCATGCCTGCAGAAGCTCCGTGGGGAGAACGTGGAGGCGAGGCTTTGCAGATTCCCATGCACAGAGGATGGAGGAGTTTGGTTAGGTCCAAATCTGGTAGGAAATTTCCAGGGAGCCTCTCCCACTGCATCCTTTGTCAAGCCGGTAATGAAGAACATCTGTGAGGATGGGATTCCTCTCATCTGTTTTTAGGTGCCTAAAAGCTAGGTATCTAAACCTAATTAGTTGGACAGGCTTCCTGCATAGTCAATGGAGACAAATAGGCACCTCTAGTGTATGATTCATCTCACATATCTTGAAGTTTATCTTGAGAAGGGCTGACTCACCCTACAGCCAAGCACTGCTTCTCTTCCGTGACTGTAAAGGCAGGTCGGCAACATGTTGAGGACTTGACAAGTACATTTTGGATGTCCCAAGTTGGGTAAGGTGAGTCCTACTCCCAGCTGTGGCCGTGTCTGTTGAAAGAATCATCATTATGCTCTAGCTTGCCCCCTTCGCCCCTTGTGTCCCACAGAGGGTCCATTTCCAGCTCTGCCCAAGCAGGGCTGGGTTTTAGTCTGTCAAAATCATATTATCAGTCTTTATCACATTATCAGACCAAGTTAAATATTTAAAAAGCACCTAGGGGCAGGGTCCATGTCTTTCTTTTGTTTGCATATTCCCTTGAAGAGTGAAGCCCCTGTGCTGGTTGCAACCCTTTGCAGACTGGTGCAATACAGCACCATGAGTCGCTGTGCTAATCTGTAGGTCTTGACAAAATGCAGCCGGGAATGCAGAAAGAGCTCATGGACATTGGGAAATAGGCAGGAGTGAATCATAAGAGTCAGGAGAAGCAACTAATGTGTGGGAAAAAGGCAAATGTGCTACCTCGGCATAAACATATAATAAGGAAGTATGTAATAATAATTATTGTTATTGTAATACGGCCTGGGTGAGCATTTGGAAAAAAGATATCTAATAACTGACAAGCGACATGGCTCGGTTTGTTTTGATCTGAAATTCAAACAATGGTTGTGTTTATAAGGCAATAATACGCAGGGCACAGAGCACTGGCACCACACCAACTATGCACTCCTCAAGTTGGGTTTATATAGGTCATGCCAAACAAATAATAGTGTTCTTCAATATAATTACTGATTCATTACAGAAAGAGAATGTAATCGAGTCTGTTTGGATTTCAGGGAGGCGTTAGATACGGTAAATTCATATATTTGAACTTTTATTGGGAAAGCTTTGTGCGATCGCCTAACTCTGCTCCTGGAGGAATCAGCGATAAAATTCCCACTGCTGCCTGCCCTGGCAGCCTGGGATCCTCCCTGCAGGCTTCAGCAGTTGCTCATGCTCCTGCTGGCCTTTGCAGACTCTTTCAGTGCCCTTTGAAGCTCTTCACAGGTAAATTGGGAAACTAAACTACTGCTAGACTGAGACCCAGATCCAAATGTGCTGGACATGGCACTTATCTCAGGCAATTGCACCCACCCCTTGATCCTGGGCTCACCACGGCCCCTCCACTTCTGAACCTCCTGGTATATGGCCGACTTCTGGATGTGTCTCTTGAGACACATTAATTCACTGTTATTTCAGGGGAAAGCAGCAAAAGACAAAGGACAGGATGGCCTGGCGGTGCCCACCAGCTCCCTGGATGAGAACACCCTAGTTTAAGTGGCACACTTGGCCACAGGAGAGTTAAACTGGGTTGTCCTCATCCTGGGAAGATGTCTGTGGGGTTGGGCAGTGGTTGGGCCATGCTGCATGATGAGAGGGTGCTACCAGCACTCATCATCAAAGGAGAAGGGCCAGGCTCAGCTGATGGTGAGGGATGATCAGGGATGCTGCTCTGGAGCCTTTTGGATGGCTTTGCCACATGGCATTCCCTGGGGCATGGTGAACTGGCATTTTGGCTGCAGCACTCTGCTTTCCCCAGGAAGACCTGGGCAGCCCTGCACCAGTCCAAGGTGTTTCCTGCTGGCCTCTGCTCTGTATGGACCCTGTACAGCACACAGGGATGGATGATGGTGCCCAGAGTAGCATCCTAACACCCAGCTGCTGGGACCAGTGACAGGGCATTGCTCTGCGTGATGCCTGGACTCAAGGGTTTATCCAAGAAAACACAAGGCATTGTGACACAGTCTTGGAGTCAGCATGTGTCATGTCCATGACCAGCCCTGCTGCTGCTCCCCACAGTGCGAAGGGCAAAACCCCAGTGTCCTTCCTGCTCTGCCCCAGGGAGCAGCTGCCTTTTAAAAAAAGGCAAGATAGGGCATAGCATGAGGCTTCCAGAAAAACAGGGACCACGCCAGTCACGTTGGAGGACCAGCACCCAGTGGAGGGAACACTGGTAGAGCACTAGACCCACTAGTCAGTTGACTTCTCTGAGTCCTGAAGAAGTTCATCAGGAACAAGTAGGACCATAGTAATTTAAGCTTTCAAAAGGTTTTTTGATAATGGCCTTTCCAAGAATGAAACAAACTTGGCAGCCATGGGATGAAAAGTCCTGTCATGGATTGAATATTGAGTCAGAGCTAATAGGCAGGAGGAAAAATCCATTAAAAGTAAAAGGCCAGTGTTCCAAACAGGGAAGAAAAGCTTACAGGGGTTGGAGGGGGTGGTGGGGCCATGCCTGTCAGAGATGAAAGTGGCCCTCTGAATACCATGACAAAAATCAGTAAAGGGGGGAGGGGAATAACAAGGCAACAGCATTTGCTGCCAACAGAGAACCATGTATTATAATTGCAACCAAGACTTGGCAGGACTGGAAGGGACTCCAGAAGATTCTAACTAAACTTGGAAGCCAAACCACCATGACAGTTCAGCACACACAGATGCCAAAGCAAGCTGTTTTGGAAGAAATTGAGCAAGCCTCTTGCTCTGAATTAGAAGTTGGCTGGTGGGGGTCAGCAGTGGACACGGGCAAGGACTATTCAAGCATTGCATGTAAAAGACCTGCTCTGAGGGTCAGCATGAAGAACATGTCATCGTATAACCTGGGCACACATCACAGTCCATGTCCACTTGCCCACTGTGAAGCAGGACCTAAAGAAACACTGTAAGATGGACCATACTGAGTCAAGAACAAAAGTCCACTAAAGGCAGCACAGAAGAATAGAAATGGGATCAAAGGCAGAGCCGAATGGGGGACTTCTTCCATGAAGGGAGGTTGAGTAGTATAATATTTCATTTGCACTAGGGTTGCAGAGGTCTACAAAACAATAGTTCCCTTAAGTAACAACTGGCTGATGCTTTCAGTTTATTTGTACTTTGCAAGTTGAAAAAAAAGATGTAAAGGTGCTTTTAAAAATAGTTGCAAGGAAAGTTACTGCTTTGCCACTGGGTTGCCTCTCAGTACTGTTCCCTGCTGGGTGAGATCTACTGACAAGCTCATACCTGGCCTGAACTCAGTTGCCTCTGTGTGCCAAACCACCCATAGCAGTGTACTCGTTCAAGCTGGGTTTGCTGACACCCACTTTTGCAGAGGCTGGATTCAACTGCCTTGTGGGCAATGTCCAGCCCTGGGCAGCAGCTGGCAAAGCACAGCCTGTACACTGAAAGCCTGCTTACATCAGTGTCTGGCTGTCATGGAGTGGGGACCGCATTCCAGGGACAAACATGGTCCCTGGCAGGGTGTGGTGACACCAAGACCCGTGCAATAAGAAACGGAAGGAGGTTGTGTGTGTAAATAATTTACTAGTAGACCTAAATGCTACCAGGCCTTTGTTTATTTTTATGAAGTCAGTAAAGAACCACACTGATTCTGAGACTGGAGTTTGGGGACCAGAGGCTGCGAGGTGACATAAAGCAAAGGCATCTGTCCTCTCTGTGTGGGAAGGCAGCCAGGCTGGGAGGGGACAGATGCCTTCTGAGTTTCCAATTTTTCCTGCAAACACAAACCTTTGTGGAGAAACTAGAAAGGGAGACGTGCAATGCATATACAGGTGACTGCCCCGGAGAGGTAGGAGCTTTGCCACATGATCTGTGGATGACCAGGGAGGGGAAATCGTTTGCTGAATGATGCCTGTCACTATTTCAATCAGTATTTCTGGGTGCTCCCAGCTACCAGTGCTGTGCTGGGAGCCTGGGTTCATGGAAAGGTAGGGTTTTGGCTGAGAAACAAAAGCAAAGCCTGGACTTACTGTCATCAAAGAAGAGCTAATCATGCTCCTCACAAGAGCAGACACACTGGGGCTGGTGTCTGGGCTGCTGTATAGTACAGGTGCTGATGGGATGACATGATGTCCTGTTCCACAGCACAGTTACCTCAATGTTGCCAAACCCAGGCAGCCTTGGGAATCAATAGCAGGATGCTTCCTCCTTAGAAATCATTTGCTTTCTGTAAGGAGATAAAAGGTCTTGCAGACACGTAGACATTGATTGCGGGCTACTGGGGAGGAAGAGGAAGGTTCCTTCTCCTACTTTACTACTCTTTTTGTTCTATAAAAGTCTGCTCCATACATCATGTGGTTGTAAGAGAATCTAATTTTTCAGTTAAGAAAAGCATTCTGTTCCTGCTACCTAGTGCAGAGAAAAACATGAAAACTCTGGAGTGTGAGTCAAACACTAGAGTCAAAAGCAAACATACAGAATTCAACATTATTGGTTTTATTTTATTTTTTTTATTATGTTCTTTAGGTGACTGGCATTATTTTGGAACCCAATTCTCAAACATCTGGGATTAGCTCTCCTGGAAATGTGAGGATGTGGGCCCTCTAGTGCCACTTGGAAAATGTCAGTATTCCAGCCCACAGTCTGCAAGGGAGGTGTTATTTGGCAAGTAACTAGAGCTTAATCAGAAGTTTGGGACCACCTTCAAGTGGTCAAGGAGAAAAACAAATCAAATTTTCTTTTTCAGATCTCCTGCATGTGGCCGGTCCAACTGGATAATAGATCCAGCAGTAACTCCTAGCAACAGGAACTCTTCCCCTTCAGTGGTTGCTTGATGTCCTGTGTGAAATGAGAGTTCAGCCAATGGTATAGGCACTTCTTAGTGGACAAGTATCTACGCATGTTATTCTGCAGTAACTGGTGTCTCCATGTCTGCCATTCTCCCTTGCCAGCCCAGCAGAGATAACTGAAGTTACCTGGAAATAAATTTCTCCATCAAGTGTCCTAGCTGAGGCTTTGCTGCAATAACAGCACATGCACAACTTGTGCTGCTTAGTTTATCTTTGGATGGACAATTGCTATCTCCAGGCCTACAGAGTAAGCATTGTTAGATATATTAAAATAATTTTTAAAAAGTCTTCTGACTCCAAAGTTCACAGCCTTTCAGTTTATGTATATCCAGCTGGGAAATCATGCCCACTAATTTTTACTGAAGTTTGCAGTTGATTGACCCACCAGTACAATGCCAGGATGCTGGGTAGACTTGTGCAGCTCCTTCGAAGTTCTGGTGCGTTCAAGATGCATGGCTCAAGGATGACCAGTCTGTTACCTCTAATATCACTGATGGATAAACCCTACAGATTCAAGCTGTAGTGGATATGACAGTGTCTGTTGCAAGTGGAGCTGTTTCAAAATGCAAACCAGAATTTCTAAGTGTCACTGAAATGCTGAAGATCCATTGAGGAGCAGGTGTGGGGTGGTGGATGGTAAAGGCTTTTTTAGTGAAACTGTTCAAAAGAGCAAGTCTGCTGATGAAGGGAGGGTCCTATGGTCACCTCCAACAGTATAAGAATGAAAAGCAGCAGCAGCAGCAAAATCCAGTAATGCACCAAAAGATAAGTGTCCAGCCTAAATCAGGCCAACAAAAATATCTGTGCTGGTGAATTAATATGCCAGTCTACACCATATTTCCTGAAGCAGTTGAACCCTTAGCCATGAAACTCATCCCAGGAAGAAGGGCTGTTGTAATGACAGTGCTATAGAGGGGATTAGATCTGCCTCCTAGATGAGCTGTTTACTGTTATGACAAGCTTGCATTTGTGAAGTGCATACTTTTCACAGAATCACAGAATCATTAAGGTTGGAAAAGATCTTCAAGATTATTGAGTCTGACCTTTGAGCAAACACCACCATGTCAACTAAATCACAGCATTAAGTGCCAGATCCAGTCATTTATTGAATGCTTCCAGGGATGCTGACTGCAGCACCTCCCTGAGCAGCCTGTTCCAATGCTTTACAACCCTTTCAGTGAAGAAATTCTTCCTGATGTTCAGCCTGAAACTCCCCTTGAGCTTGAGGCCGTTTCCTCTCCTCCTGTCACTAGTTGCCTGGAAGAAGTGGCTGACCCCCACTTTGCTACAACCTCCTTTCAGGTAGTTGTAGAGAGAAGTAATGTCTCCCCTGAACTTTCTTTTCTCCAGGCTAAACACTGCCAGCTTCCTCAGCCACTCCTCATCTGACTTACTCTCTAGACCCTTCACCAGCTCTGTTGCCCTTCCCCGGATCTGCTCCATCACCTCAACGCCCTTCTTGCAGTGAGGGGCCCAGAACTGGACACAGAACTCGAGGTGCAGCCAGACCAGTGCCGAGCACAGGGGAACAATCACTGCCCTGGTCTGGCTGGCGACACTATTGCTGATACAGGCCAGGATGTCACTGGCCTTCTTGGCCACCTGAGCACACTGCTGGATCATGTTCAGCCACTGTTGATCAGCACCCCCACATTCTTTTCTGCTGGGCAGCTTTAAAGCGACTCTTTCCCAAGCCTGTAGTGCTGCATGGGGTTGTTTGACCAAAGTGCAGGACCCAGCACTTCACCTTATTGAGCCTCATACCACTGGCCTTGGCCTATCAATCCAGCCTGTCCAGATCCCTCTGCAGATGCTCTCTGTAAGAAATAAGTGTTTCGGTGTATGTATGCACTGGTGAGAGTGCATGTATTAGACTAAGAAGAGTGTGCATATTTGCATGTGTGTGTGTCTGTGCTGGGTTAAGGACTCGTGTACGTGCATGAGAATAAGTGCTAGTGAACATATGAACAAGTTACTGAGTGGCCATCATGCATCTGCATGTGAGCACCTGAAACTGCAGAAGAAAAAGGGTGGGTAGGGCTGTGTGAGTGCTCATTCACTGCAAGTGCTCACTGAGTGTTTTTTGCCAGCCGTGGGGAGTGTGGGTCTGTACCAGTGGGAGGGCAGAAGAGCAGCAATGTGGCTACAGGCACCAGGGCGCGTGGGAAGGAAGGCAAGCGCCAGTGCAGGACAGCGCTCAGGGCACTGCAGTGCCAGAGGGGAGATGCAGGAGGGCCTTTTCCCAACTGTTTCTACAACATGGTTTGACTCAGCAAAGCATTAACATGGTAAAGAAAAGTCTAGAAGGGCTCCTGCCAGCTACAAATAGAGCGATCAGCATATACAGGATGTGGTAAGAGCTAAAGGCATTCCGTTATTAACTTCACTTTTATTTCTAGGGGATTCACTTCTCTGTTCTGTTTACTATTTGGGAAGTGAAATCTAAGATCACAGTACCATTAAAAAAAAATACCTGTCACAGCTCATTTGTTTTTCTACTTCATTATTTTCCTTTTAAAAGTTACTTTGCTTTTTCTTGAATGGAATTTATTGAAATTGCTGGTAACACATGAAGTCTTCACTCTGTTTCTCTCCTGAGAAATTATCTAATTTGCTCTCATTTGAAACTGTTGACTCTGAGGGGAGTGTTTACACCTCACAATGTGCTCACAGTATGGTGCAACTCGGAGCAGAGGAAACAGCACGGGTTCCTCCTCAGCACAGCCAGAGCTTGTACACTGCTCACAAGGTGCTTTGTAAACATTTATTCATTCTTGTACACACGCTCCCTTCCCTCCCCCATCAGGTGAGGAAGTATTATTGTCACAATTTCACAGATGGAAGAAGTGAATGCACATAGGTTTGGTGACTCACCCGCAACCACTGAGGCTGATTTAGAGCTGAGGTGTTAAGCTCCCAGCCACCTAATTTAACCTAGCAGGTCACGTTCCCACCCAGGGCTGACAATATAGGTAGTGCCAACTCCATCTACCTGCCACCCACTTGTCCTGTGAAGCAGTAACACTCATCTCCACGTTTGCAGAATGAGATCAGATTGCTGTGGCTTACTCCATGTGATAGTGTCATCAGAGCGCAATATATCATTATGATATCATGATGTTATTGTGCCTGAAACTAACGCAAGGCCACGCAAAGAACAGAGGTAGGCAGTTGAAAATCAGCGACCATGTACTCCTCAACCACATCACACACACGCACTGTTTACCAGGGTGTTGGTTGATTCCACCATACTGCAAGGATCTGCAAACAATCTGCATGCTGGGCAGGATCTCCCCAACTTCACTGCTGGGGTTTGGGTTAATTTCTGCCCTATACAGTCCTGGTGAAAATGTCTGAGGTAGGAAAGATGGCTCTGTGAGGAGGTGGAAGGAAAATGGTTGCCTCTCAAGTGGAAATGGCTCTAAAAGCACATGGTCAGAAGATAAATATCATGGTCTCAGTTCTCCAGTGGGGCTAGTTGTTTTTAAGTGCTGAGCACTTACAGGAAACTAAGCCTTCTAAATGTGGTTCTGTACAAGCGCACAAAAAAACCCAGAACAGAACCTTCAGTGTCACATCACGACTGAACATCCAGGGTCACATGTTGCCATTGTTTGATTCTGCTTTGCTATTTAAAATCCTCACCTATGTTGTTATTCACTCCCACACAGAATCAAGAAAAACAACAACAATAAAAAAACCCGCTCCTTATCATCTTCATTTACTTTTCACACTGTTTACATGGGGAATGATCTCACTCATGCCTAGCTCATCCCAGACGACTCAGATTAGTCAGTTCCGCTTTCTGAGACCGGCTCCTTTGGCTGACTGGGGCTCAGACCCTGCAGGATGCTGCTGCACCCAGCGTCACACTACGGAAGGGGAGGTCAGCTTTCCCTGCACGAACCTTAACTTTCATTTTTAAATAAAACACATCATATTTTCATCTTTGGAATATAATCTTCGTAACAGGCCGTTCCAATGACTCTAGTGTTTCTTTTTGCCACGTGCAAAATTTGTTTCCATTGCCATGACAAAGTTTGCAGGAAGATCCATCTTGATTTCTGTGGGCTTTGGACCTGCCTCACAGGGTGTGGTACTGCATCTGCTGAGAGCAATGCCAAAACGCCCACTAATTTCAAGGTATGAGAAATTAAGGGTCTCAAAAGTACTTGGGAGGGGGAAGGGAATGCATTTGAATACCAGGATTGTTCAGAGGCCTCCCTAAATCTCTTCCTACCATGGTGTGTGGTTTTGGGGTGCATTGGGACTTTACAGTTGTAGAGAAATGGGTGAATCTTGAGCATCTAGAAGGAAGATGGATTGTTCTCCTTCCTCTGACCCTCCTTTAGGAACTAAGTGCCACCCAGACTGTGCCAGAGACATGGGTTGTAGAGAGTCAGGACAACACCCTTCTGGGCTGTTGGCTCTGGAGTTGAGGTTTCCTTCTTTTCCTGACTGAGGGTTAAATGTGAGTTTTCCTCCGAAATCAGGGAGCCAGTGCTCTGACCAGTGGCAGGAGAGCATAGGCTGGCATGTAGAGGAGCCTCAAGTCAGCACCTTTGTCCACAGAAACAGAAGACCCACTGTTGTTGAACTGGCAGAGAGTTAATCTCTTAGTTAAAATATTACTGGGCTCTACCTGCTCTTATCCTTCCACAGTGCAAGGGGCAAAGGGCTCAGTAGGTCAGCTGGCTAGTACCTCACAGCAACTGCAGGGACCCGGTCAAGACCCAGAGTTTGACCTGTGCCTCCTTGGTTAGATCTTTTTCCACAGTTCATGTAATTCTTTTATAGCCCTTGTTCACGCTTCGGTATGTTTCATGCTAAACAGAGCAAAGGAAGAACCCTGGAGAGAAGAAAGCCAAGGCTAAAACTAGGTACGGTCAGCACGTCAGTTGTCCTGCAGTAACACTGAGTGCACAGGATGCTCAGGAGGGCAGCCTCAGCACCGCTGGCTGGGAGAGGAAAGTCCAGCCCTTAGAACAGTGAAAAACACAGTGCCTAGATTTCAGGAGTCCCCAGTAGGGAAGGCAGCTGTGCCAGCTGTGAGAGACAAATAAAATGCCTAGTTGAGGAGTAACAAATTCAGCGCAAACACCCAGGCAATACCTCACCTTCTTCTCCTAAGCGGCATGCAGCCAACACCCTGTGGCACAAGTAAGCAGAGCCCTGGACAGCACTGCACTTGTTTGCTGCTGGCATTGCTGCTGTGCCTACCCCAGCCACAGCAGGGGCTCCCAGACCTAAG